TCGGCGTCTGCTATGATGTGAGCAAACATCTCATCTTCAACTCCAAGTGATCTCACGATTCTCTTCAGGACAGCTACCTTGGGATCTTCCTTCTCTTCTGTTTTTTCAACGTACATAGACACCCATAGCCTCGGGAGATAAGCTTCTTTCACGTTTGGGTCGTTGAACACATCCTGGCACAATGTAGTTTTTCCAACTCCGTATTTCCCGACAACCGCTAGAGTCTTGAACGCTTTCGATTCCTTTTTCTTCATCAAGAAATTCTTCAAGAACAAGGTCTCGTTTACAAAACCATGAATGGCTTGTTTCGGACTCGGACGCTCAGAGCTTGTCTCTACACAGTTCGCCTTAGGCCGCACTCCTTTACTGACGCTGCTGCTGTTGCGAGGAGCTGATAAATCACCATTTGTGGACAGGTCTCTATGATTAGACAAGGAAGGACTAGTGGAAGATTCACTCTGTTGTTCTTTTTCATATCTTTTATTGAAAGATAACTTGAGTAACTCAAGCTTCTGAAAAATCTCAGATAAAGACTTGTCATCAGCTTTATCCATAAGCTCGTCTCGTGTTTCTGCGGAAAAAAAAAACTAAAATGGGAGGGATTTCTGGGTTTTAAAGTCTGCAGCTCTCACTTTGAAGTGACACATATATATATGTATACATAGTAAATTGTTTATCCACAGAAGTAAGGAATAAAGCAAATGGCAAAAAAAAGAAGAGAGAAACACAAAAAGAGAAAAGATATGATTTGATTGAGGACAAAGCATAAACCTGTGGTGTGAATCACGTTAACTAAACTAAACTGTTTATGAATGCTACTGTGAAATCCCAAACCTTTTAGATGTATCTCTGTAACTGTAACATAGACTCAGACAAACCGCTTCAGGTTTGGTTCATAGTGTCTTTAGATGCTTGAGATCAATTCTCGTGGTGGATGGCATTACATATCTGATGAATCTCTATGATTCTTGTCCTCTGAACATGCAAAGAAAAATGATACATTAAACTGTTCTCTACGCATAATATAATGATCATTTTTAGTTATATGTAAGATAGAGGCAAGAACGCAATGATTATAGACAATGATATATTAAGACTTTATCAATGACAAGAAAACAGATAAAGAAAAGCTTTGAACACGGATATAGCGAAATACTAAGAGTAATTGGAATTGTACCTTTGCGTAAATGGAGAAGATGACTCCCAAATCTTCCACAGTCATGTGAAATGAACAAAGGCAAACTTCTTATATCAATGTCATTATTTGATAGAGGCTTCTTGTTAAAACCAGAGCATGTCTCTTTGACTTGTCTCTGCAACCCCGCAATTTGAGGCATAAAATTGCTCCAACCATCGATCGAGAGATTTTTACCAAACAACTCAAAAGCGCCCTTTCTAGTTGCTTCTACAGCTGAAGATACAACATCAACCAAAAAAGTTTAGAAGACGAACAAAAGATTTCTTCTAAACTACATGACCAAGTGCATTCAAGTTGTGTAAAACCCGAATTAAGAAAGTTCAGAGATAAGAATCTACTTGGTGTTGAGAACACATATACAGGAAGAGAGTGAAAGAGTATATACTGTTATAAGGAGCTGCGAGAAGTAAATTTGTCGGGAGACCAATGCCGAGACCAGCAAGTGTTATACCAACACTGAAACCAACGCCGCAGCCAGCACCGACATAGCCAATGACCTCGGGTCCAAAACCTGGTCCCCATCCGACGCCGCAACCAATCCCAATCCCCATTCCCCAAAACGCTCCATAAGTAGGATGTACAGGATTCCACTTCTCATATCTCCTAAATATACCTTTAATGATCATCAAGACCTGAAAAATTACCAAAAAACATTGACCCACTAAATGATCTTCAATACCCACCAAACT